CTTCCTTGCTGGGGGGTTCCAAGGAGAGCAAGCCCTGACCGAAATAAGTGAAGAAACTACCGTGCTGTGTTTTTCTTTTTCTTTTCCTTTTTCTTTTTGCCCTATCTTGCCCCCTCCCAGCGGTTTCCAGTTGGGAGGAATTAATTCGTGCATCCTGAACTCCACATAATCACCCTCGGTGGCTTTCCCTCCTTCCGTCAGCCTCGCTCACTCAATGCCCCATTCATAGCATCAGTTCAGCCCCCTCCCCCAGCCCCTCCCGAGCTATTTCCCTGTGGTTGGTTAGAACCCGAGCTTAGCTCCTGTTGCTGTCTCTGTCCAGAGCCTGTAATCTAACCTCTAGAAACCTTCTTTAAGAAAAACAGCATCCCCCACTCCCCCTTTTAAATATCCAGCTTAGTGTTTCATCTCCAGCTGTGTTTTAATCTCTAGCGCGCGTTTGTGATTATAAAACAGTGCTCGTTACGGGTTAATTAATAGATTTGTGGTCCTATCTTCTCCTATTACTCTTGCTTCCCATTTCATGAAGATAGGAGTGGTCAGAGAGTTCCTTATTAATGTTTTATGATGTCTGGGAGTTGAGCCTTTTTATTTTAAGGAGTCAAACTTTTAAATTTGTCTTTGTGGAGCCAGGTCTTGTGTAGCCCGGGCTAGCCTCAAGCTCTGTCAGTAACAGAGGATGGTGGTCTTCGGTTGATCCTCCTGCCTCTTCCACCTGCCAAAGGCTGGGATGTCCAGTGGGAATCTCATGCCTGGCATACATTTTGTCAGTATTTAAAGCTTTCTTCCCTATGCTTTTCAAAGTCTAATGATTCATAGTCTGTTATATTCCTTGGGAGAGCTTTTCCTCTAGGACCACTCCCCCTCATTTTTTCCCTCCGTATAAGAACAAAATTCAGTTGGTCTTAATTTTTTTTTGTTTCACATATCCTCTGGCTGGTTGTTTTATTCTTTATTGGCGTTTCCCTTTTATTGTGGAAGGCTCTAAGAAGAGTGATAGAAGGGAGAGCCCAGTACTGTAATCTGCCTCCTGGACACACCTAGAAGAACCAATGGCTTATGAAATAACAAACCCCTCCTCTGACAGGAAGTGGTATTTTCAAAATAGAAAGGGAGAGTTCTGAAAGTTTTCCAGAAAATATTTTTCCAGTCTTTGCTACCTTGATCTTTCAGTGTTGATTCTGAAATGAAGTCTGTAAACTATATCCATTATCTTTCCCAGAAAAATAATCTCAAGGATGCTGAAGGAATGTAATATTCATCTTTCTCAACTGGAGTTTTCACGGGATGTAATTTCCAGTTGTATTTTTTCCAGACCTTTGAAGTATTAACAGCTTTTTTAAGGTCTCTGATAATTTCAAACAAAAGTACACACAATTTTTAATTACTTTACTTACCAAAAAAATCACATACAATTTTTCGTTTGTTTGTTCTTGAGAGGAGTGTTTCTTTTTAGAAAAAGAGTCTTGTAGCCGAGGTTGGCTTCCCAGTTTTCTGTGAGGTGAAGAACAACCTTGAAGTTTTGATCCTCCTCCCTCCACCTCTCCCGTGCTGGGACTGCAGGCTTGTGCTACCACACCTGGGTGTCTGTGGTGCTGGAGATTGAACCTGGGGCTTTGTGCATGCTAGGCCAGCACTCTACCAACTAAGTTACATCCCCAGCTCCATAGAGGCTATTTTTAAACTAGCACATGGTAGTGGGGTTAGGGGCAATTTAATTTAAAATGCTAGGTAATGGTGATTGTTTGAAACAGTGGCACTGAGATGTACTCAGGCTTCATTAACTAATATGCCCCAGGTGTGTTCACCAGCCAGCACAGACATACTGTTGCAGCTAGGAAAAAAAAAATAGATCATAAGCTAGAATCTAGCTGCTGGATTGAACACCTAGGAAGGGGGGCTTGGGAAAGTGCTGAGCAATAGACTCAAATACTGATTTCCTAGAGTCCTATTAGGTTAGATAGGAAGGAAAAACTAGCCAGGTGGCTGAAGCTCTCTGAGCTACCTAGTGTTTTAAATGAGGCCAGTCCTTCCGTGGAGACTTGCTCAGGCAGGGTTTGAGATGATACACCTAAAAGTGGTTAGTACTGACTCTCAAAGTCAGTACTCAGCAAGCACAAACTTATCATATTACCAAGAAAACACATCTGTGGGTTCTGAAATCCTTGTTTTAGTCATTCCTAAGTGGCATTTGTAGCCATGTTTTTACTTACACTAGATAGTACCCCTAACTATGCCCCAGACAGGACAAAAGCAGCATGATGGGACATAAAATGAACTTGAGCTCTGTACATTGTGTGACAAAGGGCACTTTCCAAGGCCTCCAGTGCATCTTCCACTAGGAAGGTTTTTGGGTTTTGTTTTGTTTTTGTTTTTTGAAAGCCTCTTTTGACCTGCACACTTGAAAGAAAATAGAGATACCTTATTTTAAATCACAGATGTTCTTGTTTTATTTTTGACTTTTATGTTTACTGAATGAATAAGCTGAAATATTCTAAAACAGATGTGTTCTTGCCAGTCTGAAGACTGGCTAAAGATCTCTACAGAGTATTGCCCAGTCCAACACTCATCAAGAGCAGTTTCAGCAGAGTGATAGGGCAGACGACAAACCATGTCCACTGTGGAAGAAATGGATGGCAGAGAAGCACACACAGTAAGTATAGACCATTGAACCCAGGCAGGCATTGCTAAGGTCTACATAGTGTTAACTGTACAGTACTACTTAGCTCCAGGGTCAAAGAGAATAGCTGTGTGTGGCCCCGGGGTAGACCTGAGGTGGAAATCGGGGTGTGGGAGTTAGAGATGCCTGCATTTTCTTCTTTGTCCTGATAGGAGAAACTGGCAGAAAGGTTAGCAACAGGAAGATGTGGTTACATTCTCTTGCTCTCTGAAACTCTCATTTAAAAAAAAAAAAAAAGTCCTAAGCCACACAGTGAGGGAAGTCCCTCAGAGCTCCAGAGAGAGACACTCTTCTGCCATTTCTTGAAGGTGGAGAAGGGCAGTGGCTAGGACACAGCTGTCTCCTTTAGCCAGCAGGTGCTGTGTGTTTCCAAGGGAAAGGTGAAGTAAGGCCCCTTTTCTCTCTTGGTTGAGGCTGTGACACCACTTCTCTTAACTACTAATCTTTAACGAGTTGCCTTAAAAATAAGCATTATAGTCAGAGATGTGATTCTAGCACTGGGAAGCTGAGGCAGAAGGAATGCTGTGAGTTCAAGGCTATTCTGGGATACACAGTGAATTTAGGTCAGCCTGGGCAATCTCAAAAAGCAACCAACCAACCAAAAACCACTAGAGCATTTGAATGTAAATAAATGCATAAAGGATGACAAAATGAGAGTTTAGCAGTATTTGGTCAAAGTGGATATTGAGCATAGAAGTAAATTTCTGCCTCTTCCTGTAAGCCACCTGAGGTGATCTGTAAAATGGTTCACTGTTCTCTTGACCCAGAAACCTTACAGGAAAGATAGTTCAATCGGTTAAGAGCACTGACTGCCCAGCTGGAGCACCTGGGTTCAGTTTCTAACATCCAAAGGATGACTTATAACCATCTGTAGCTCTAGTCCCAGAGTGGCAGGTGCCTCTCCTGGCCTCCAAGCCTCTGAGGGCATCAGGCACTCATGTGGCACACAGACTTACATGTAGGAAAAACATTCATACTCAGAAAAAATAATTAAAGCAAAAATTTTTAAAGGTTCAAGTTTTTCACATTTACTTTAAGATAACCTGTAGAACTGCCCAGGTTATTAAAGATTTGCATATCTGAAAAGCCACCAAGTATCTGAAAGATGTCACTTTAAAGAAGCAGTATAATAGTAGAGCTAGCTGGTAATTATGCCCAGGCTAAACACAAGAATGCACACAGGGTCAGTGGCCCCAGAGAGGGCTGAATTTTTCCTGCACATGGTTAAAAGGACAGAGAGCAATGCTGAACTCAAGGGTTTGGATAGAGATTCTCTAGCCACTGAACACAAAGACCCAACATGTGTCATTAACCCATGAATGAGCTCCCAGCTCACTGAGGTGATTCTCACTGAACATGAACAAGTTATTCCAAAGCCAGAAGAGGAGGCTGCACAGAAGATATTCCAGAAGAAACAAAAACTTATGGCACAGAAACAAATTTGGCATAAAAATATGCAAGTTGGAGTTTTTTTTAAAAGGATTGGATTTCTCCTCTTTCCCTGAAAAGGAAGAGGATAGAGGCGTCCATGTGAAGGGTGTGGCGTCATGGGGGGGGCGGGGGACTCCTCACTCAAGTCTCAGTCGACAAACAGTGCTTTCTCATGAACAACCTGGTTTAGCCAAGAAAAAAAAAAATCATCCTCTTTCCCCAAAAGACTGGAGGTAAAATACTCTAAGAGTCTTTGGAATAGGATAAGGGTTTCTTACTTTGAAAAGGCTGGGAAGTTCCTACAGAACACACAACTACACTCACAGTCTGGCATTTGCAGAAGTCAGAGCTGTCCCCTGAAGCCTGAGCTATCTTTAACAGCTTCAGGCCTTGCAGACTGCTTTCTTTCTGTCTCCCTCGCTGGATCTTAATTCCTGGCTTATTTATTTATTTATTTAACTATTTACTTATTTATTTACTTAGGGTTTTTTTGGTTGTTCTCCTCCCATCCCCCCCCAAGACAGGGTTTCTCTTTGTCACAGCCTTGGCTGTCCTGGAACTCCCTTTGTAGACAAAGCTGGCATAGAACTCACTGAGTTCCTCCTGCCTCTGGCTCGGGAGTGCTGGGATTAAAGGCATGTACCACCACACTTGGCAATTCTTGGATTTTAAATCTCCTAATTAGAACACGTAGGGTTCTCCTGGCCATAGCATTTGTTCTCATACATTTCTTTGTCTATACATCCTGTAATGGGGATGAAAACTTTGTGCATGCTAAACAGTTGCTCTGCTAAGCAGTGTTCTCATCCCATGTGCCTTTTTTTCTTCCCTGTGTAGCTGAGGATGACCTTAAACTCCTGATCCTTCTACTTCCACCTCCTACGTGCTGGGATGACAACAGACAAGTGCACTATCCCAGCTTCGTGCCCTCTCTTGTTTCTTCACTTTCTACTGTTCACTTTGCTTTTAAAAGTTACTGCATTAGTGTAGAAGAGGGGTGTGCACATGCCACTATACACTGATTGAGGTCAAAGGACAACTTGTGGAAAGTCCTCTCCTTCCTTCATGTGGGTGCCAAGGATTGAACTCAGACCCCTGACTGGTCAGGCCTTGTAGTCCGCCCCAATGTTGTTGCTTTCATTTTAATCACAGCTTTATTGAAAGGTAATTCATGTATCATAAATTCACTTCATATACAAATCGAGTAGTTTACTTTTTAGTATGTTCACAGTGTTACATGACAATCGCTACTAATTCCATTGTATTTCTGTCTTATGAACGAACTAAAGCATCCATACAATGCAGTATTACTCAGTAACAAAGAGAAACATACAATGCTATGAAAGGTTCCATGGAGTCGTTTAAGGCTCCAGGAGCCTTAAATATGAATTACTAAACAAGAGAAGTCAATTTGAAAAGGCTGCATGCTAGGTACTTCTGTGTGACAGTCTGGAAAAGGCAGAACTGTGGAGAGAGGAGATCAGTGGTCCCATGGCTTCAGAGAGAGGAGTAGGTGGGGCACAAAGGCCACTGCTCTGTGTGACACGGCATTGTCTGGCAGTGGTCCTGTGCCTTTGTCAGAACAGACATGCACAGAATCGTGAACTCAAGTATGGACTCCAGTTGCTGACAGTCAGTCAGCATTACCTCGTCAGTGTTAACCAGTGTCCCATCCTATCCCATGATGCTCTGAATGAGGTTACCACCCTTTTAATTGGGTTGTCTTTTCATTATTGACTTTGGAGAGTTCTTCAATGCACTGGCCAGCAAGATGGGTTAGAAGGCCAACACAATTCTTTTTCGTGTGTCTACCCAGCTATCCTAGAACTCTATTAGTATAACTGTACTTTTCCCTTTAACTGTTTTGGTGTCAGCTGGGTATGGTGGTGCATGTGTTTAGTCCCAGCAGTCAAGAGGCAGAAGCAGGAAGATCTTTGAGTTTGAGGCCAGCGTGGACTCCTGGAACTCTGAAGTTCCAGACCAACAAGCATTGTATAATGAGACTCTGTCTCAAAACAACAACAATAAATAACAATAATAATAATAATAATAATTAATAAATTAATTATTTTGGTATATTTGGGGTTAGGGAGCTAGATATTAAACCCAAGGCTTTACACTTTCAAAACATATACCTGTGCTAAACTGGTGTGCTACCTACCTGTACATTTTGAAAATTAGTTGACCATGAATGTGAGTATTTTAAGATTCCTAATTGTTTTTCATTGATATATCTGGGGTTTTATTTTTATTTTATTTTATTTTTAAAACAAATTGTGGGCTGATAAGGTGTCCCAGTGGGTAAAAGCACCTGCCATCAAGTCTGACTAAGACCAATTTCCAGAACTTTCATGGTGGAAAGAACCAACTCCTACAAGTTGTCTTCCCATCTTCACAGATGTGTTGTGGTACATGCACATCCATACATGTAAAGAAATGGATAAATAAATGTGTGTGGGGGAACAGGCTTTCCTTTTGACTGAAGCAGCTATCTTCCAGTAACTCACCAAAATGACAAGCATAAAGGGATAGAGGAGGGGCACTTGATAGATATTCACTAGCCTTTTAGGAAACATGCAGTTATTCCTTTGGCCACATACATGTGAATCTACAAGAAGGGTGACATTGTAGATATAAAGGGATGGGCACAGTTCAAAACGGAAGGCAACATAAGTGTAAGCAAAGCAAAACCGGAAGAGTCTGCAATGTCACCCAGCATGTGTGGGCTTCAATGTAAACAAGCAAGTTAAGGGCAAGACTCTTGCCAAGAGAATTAATGTGCAGACCGAGAACATGAAGCATTCTAAGGGCAGAGACAGCTTCCTGAAGTGGGTGACAAAGTGATCAGAAGGAAAAGGAAGCCAAGGAGAAGGGCACCTGGGTTCAGCTGAAGCGCCAGCCTGTTTCACCCAGAGAAGCACACTTTGAGGATTAATGGGAAAGAGCCTGAGCTGCTGAGCCCGTTCCATATGAATTCATGGCCTAATGTACAAAGAGATACAAAGGACCTGACAGAAAAAAAAGAAAAAAATGATAAAAATAAAGAAGTGGGTTGCTGCTTTACCACACTGCAGAGAGCAGTGGGTATGGCAGTAATAGAGTTGCTTGCCCATCAAATTGCTTGTTTGCCTTTTTTTAGATTTATTTATTTTATGTGTATGGGTGTCTGCCCACATGTGTAGCTGTACACCATGTCCATGCAATGCCTGAAGAGACCAGAAGAGGAGGCTTTATCCCCTGGAACTAGAGTGGCTCACATGTTAAGGGCTGCCATGTGGGTTCTAAGAATCAAACCTGGGCCGTCTAGAAGAGCCACTGTGCTCTATCTTATTTTCATTTTCAGATTTTCCTTGATAGTGAATAGAAACACAATGGCTCTTGTTATGTAGATCTTGTATCCTGCAACCTTGCTGAACTCATTCATTTGCTCTAATAATGTTTTGTGGGGATTCTTATGGATTCTCAACGTACAAGATTGTGTTATCAACAGACAGACAATTAGGCTTTTTCATTCTCTATCGGAATTGCCTTCTGTTTCTTTT